GCAACAAGAGGGTCCCATATTGGTTCGATAGACCTGATGGTCAGACTGTCATGCATTGGTTTTAGCGGTTGGCTGACAGGGACAGCAATAGTTGGCACATAATTTGGTTACATTGTACATGCAACAAGACGCACAAAACTGTTGTTTATCACTTGGGTTGTCCTCAAGACTGGGGGATTCGGAGTAGCAAGACCAAACATTTCATGGGGATATGATGATGATATCATGGGCTATCACGGAACCTGGTCTATACCGTGATCAAAGCAACGGCTTGGTGCTTAAGCCACTCTGTCGACAACTGTCAGCTATGGTTAGGTTCTCTGTCAACATCTTATTAGTATGTGCTCACAGTGCTCACGGCGTCAAAATCATATTGCCGTGCAGGAGACAAAGGCGAGAGCCATGCTGATCGAATTGTCTCAGAAAAATAAGGAAAGAGTAAAGAGAGGATCATGGCTGCAAAGAACAAAATAAAACAATATATCAACATATATCAAGGGAATCCACATCACGTTGTATAGTAATTGTTAGCAAACTCAGGTACGTTTGAATTGCATTGCTGGTTCCAAATAATTAGTTGGCATTTCATTGGTTGGAACTAGCCCAGCCAGCTCCTGAGACGGGCAAGGCACACACTGCAAGTCTGCGTCGAAGGGCACGTTGGAGATAATGATGAATATGATAAGCCTTAGTTCTATGATTTATATATATATATATATTTATATATATATATATATTTTTATATATATATATGATTTATACAAGGATGCAAAGGGCAAGGCTAGATGCGGAAATCACCACAGCTAGTGATCTGTGTGCTGGTACTCGTGTCATGGATTTCTTGCTTTCATCTTTGAATTTTGAGTTTGAAGCTCAAGATGCCTTCAAAATGTCGCGTGATAACCTTCCCAGCCAATGAGGCATACTTGGTATACCTTGCATTTCCAAATATCTTGAGTTTACTTCAAATATCTCCTCAGAGCGGGGCCTTAACTCATTGTTAATGCGGGGTTAGCAACTCTCAATATGGTTCAAGATAAGTGCTATCTTCAACCGCAGTGGTTAATCCTTTCGGTGGAACCCAACCAGGAATGAGCCATTGGGGCTTTAACGGACAACCATCGATGCCCTTACTCATTCTTATTCCACTTATCATATGACCAACAACCGCAAGAACGTCAGTTATCATCCATTAATCATCCAAATAATCCATTAAATCCCACATCTGGTTGGTGGTTTCAACCCCTCTGAAAAATATGAAAGTCACATGGGATTATTATTCCCAGTATATGGGAAAGTAAAATTCATGTTCCAAACCACCATTAATCCCCATTAAGCCACCATTAATCCCCATTAAGTCACCATCAAAACCCATTAAGTCACTATTAAACCACCATTAAGTCACCATTAATCCCCATTGAGTCACTATTAAACCACCATTAATCGCCATTAAGTCACTATGAAAACCACCCTTGACTGGTGCATTTTCCAAAATTCATGGAGCACCAAGCATCAATAGAATGATGGTCATCAGTGGTCCCCTCTTCGATGGACTCAACACATCCAAGACCTTCTCCACCACATTCGCTGCCTCTGCGAATGTGCCAGAAATGACCGTTCTGTATCTTCTGAATCTACATATATGTATAAAGATTTATGCATATATATATATATATAGATAGATAGCTACACATTATATAATGATATAATATATATATATACACCCACGTATTTATATAATTATATATATATTATACTGTATACTTAATGATAGTATGATGACATGATGTGTATATATATATACACATATATTAGAAATTATTTACTGAACACAGTGATTTTGCAATGTCATTTTCCCCATGGCATGGGAAGTTCACACCCCATCCACTTCTTTTGAGCGCTGATTCAAGTTGCAGTGGGCATCGAGTAGCGCCAATCCCGTCCAGTTTTGGGATAAGGCAACGACGGATTACCTCACGTCAGGCGACGTCCACATGTTGAAAAAAATTGGGGACCGACATAAATTGCTGTTTTCAAATTAAAGCCCAAACAATAAAGCTGAGCTGGTAATATTGCAATACATTGCAATATATTGCAATGGGTCCTTGATACTCTATAATCTGTATAAAATCCAAATGAAAGCTGAACGCTGCAGGATATTTTTTGAGCATCGGACTGCTCATCTACCTCCTCGGCCCTGGGAATCGAGCCGCACATGGCCCGCTGCGGCTGGGTTGCGGTTGGGTTCGGTGCGGGCGATGCCCACCTTGCCATTCTCACTGGAGGCTTCCTGGGGGCGGATTTTACGAAAAAATATGGGCTATTCTGACGATAGGGTACCTCCAGATTCTCTGGTCAATGATCAATTTCAAACAACCATTTGGAAGTATGTTCCCCCCACTTTCACACAAACCCGCCTGCACAAACTGGGAGTTGGGCAGCCAAAATACGTGGATTCCATCAACAATTATATATATATAATCAACCGGAAAAAGCTTGATCAAGCAAAATAGGATCTTCAAGGTGACTGAATGAACCAAAGTAGGGATTTCCCATGATGCGACTATGATGTAACAACAAAAGAGTTGACCAAGGGGAGTCGAGTGCCAAGCTTCTGTTTGCATGAGCACTTGCAACACAATCTTCCTGAGCTTTGAAGAAGATGGGATGGGAAAGAGCAACCAATGGGAGAATCTATGTAAATTTCACATGATTTAATATGATTTATATGTTGTGTATCTATCAAAGTATGTGCATCAAGTCAAAACATGTAGTACACATAGACTTCATCATTTCGTTATAAAACCATTGTAAGCCCACTCCGGGCATACATTCCAGATGGATAGGTAGCTTGGTAGCTTTCTGATATCGAACATGCATCGAACAATAGAAGCGGGCCAAAGTCAATTCAAATGCAATATATTAGATAGATACAAAGACAACTTGAATTTTTGTAATTCATTATTATCATGAATTATAATCCAGCTAAAGTCGCTTCCTAACTGATATATCCGGACATCTCTGGTTTGTTAAAGCCACTGAAGCCAGTGGAGTCAAAGGCTCATGTACGCTGCGGGTGGAATGGTCTTCTCCTCCACTCCAGCTCCAGGTGCCACTTCTCCTTCTTAGCCCCCACCTCGGGGATGTTGGGGCCAACGTGTGGATCCAAAAGGCTCACGGTTAGTCCAAATACCCCGAAACACTGGGAATATCTAAGTAATTCTAGCTACATCTCAAGGACCTGCTCGGAGGTCGTAGAGTCCGACAAATACTTTTCATTGCATACACACACAACAACACACACACACAGTGCTGGTGATGTATCTCATGATTCCACTTGTTTCCCGATTTTGTTAGTCTGTGCTGGTGAAGTACCCCATGATGGTTAGATGGTTGATGATATCACCAGCCTTCCTGATTTCCCAAGATCACCAACTAAATTCCATCGCTGATTGAACTCACGATTTTGTTGGTGATGCATATTTTTAGTCTTTTGACACGACTTTTTTCTTGAGCATCTGTTTTTCTTGCTATTCAAATTCGATATCATGATGATTAATAATGACAATGATAACAATGTTAATCTTAATATCAAATACGCATATTGATATTAAGATCACAATGACTATTAATATCAATATTAATGCCAATATGAAATTCTAGTGGTAATATCAATATCAATAATTATTCACAGTTAATATGATAACAAATATAAATTGTAACTCCATTGTCCACAAGTCTCACTGATTTCCAACACAGCTGGCCTTCTTCCTCTTCTTCTTCAACAGCCTCTTCTTCCTCAGAAGTGTCATCGTCACAAAATGACAGTACCAGGATATCGCTGGATTAGACCCACTACAGGAATTTAAGTGACACAAATGATCCACTTTTGGGGGTTTGATCATGACCAAAAATGGGCAAACATGGATACATCGGATTCCAACTTTTGGATTTCATCAAGAAATCCCCGGATTTTCTCAGGGCGCGGAGGCTGTCACCCAAGAGCCGCAAACTGCGGCGGGAGCTGATTTTTCTAAGCTGCAGCTTCCGTAATTAGGTAAATCATCGTATAATATCACCAGCATTTTAAGGGGGCGTACCCAAAATGTTTTTGCCACATTTGTCAAGGTGTTTTTGAGGGCCTTGAACATGTATACATTTTGAAGGTATTTTGAAGACCCTCCTGACAAAAACGACACCTGTGGGACGTTCAGCGACCAATTTTACATGTAAGGGGGGTCCCAAAAATGTATCTTACATTTTGGTATGGTCCCCCCGAAAAATAGCCTTAAAGGGGTGGTGATAGTATAATAATGTATAATAATATATCCATATATATATATATTTAAATCTCTCAGACTCAACAGTTCATGAATTTACAAAGTCACTACTACAAGACTGTCAGCAAACAGTACATCTGCGGATGACAACAAAACCGAGGCTGAACAGGCAAGCAGGACACAGGGTGACCTCCTTCAGGGTTGATGCTTGGGTTCATGATGATGCTGGCAACAACGATGATGATGACTACGATAAGATAAGCAAACAAACATGATGACGATGTGCGGCCAAAGAACGTCGCCCTCGCCTCTTTCTTGAACGCCTGACGTGCCAGTTGCGACCCACATCTCCCAACAATATCTTTCCTCATTTTGGGAGATTTCACGATCGCAAATTCCACCTCCCTATCCCCCCACCTATCTATGTCAAATTGGTGGATTGACATCACCTCATTTTGGCTGGTCTTTTTCCTCGAGGCCCAATGGTTTCATGGTTATCTTTTCATGGTTAGAATATCTAAGAATCCACAGTTTTAGGGATCAATCCCATCATTGTGGTGTGAAAAAAACAAAACTACTTTGGACACATCAATAAGGTTGAAATCCCAAAAAACTCTAAAAACACCCTTTTCATTATGATAATCCCCAAATATCCCCAATGTTTTCCAAGGATTTAAAAGGCAGTATCCCCCAGTCATCAATGGGATGTCAACACAGCCCCTACTCCACTGCTCCTCCGGCTCCCTTCATCTCTTTCTTCATCTCCGCATAGAGCTGTGCGTTGGACAAGGGCATGTCAGCTTCCATCTCCAGCATCATCCGCTCCTGGGCGCCACGAAACGAAAATCGGCTGGAGATATAACGATGTAAAACCATGTACAGGTCGTCAGATCCAAAAAAGGGTAGACTACAACAAATATGTTGGGGTGGTTGATTGATAGCTTTACGCAGATACATGAATCATCAAAAACTCATACTGGAGAATACTAATCAATTGAGATGAGGTGGTGGGAATGGAACATCAAAATCTGGCTATATCAATCCAGTTCTGGGGACTTGGCAGAAACAATCAGATTTACGGCTTACCTCGGGTATACCCCATCTCTTAGAATGTATCATGTCACAACCTTGATCATGCCCTCTTTAGTAGTTGCGTGCAGCGAAACCCCAAGGGTTGTGTGCATCAATCGGACCTTTTGGTGGCTTCTGTCCGTCCTCAGGAATTGGTACAACACCAAAATCTATCAACATCTACTATCTTGTTCCTCAACTATCTCTATCCCCAAATTGCCCAGGAACCCCCAAAATAAATTTTACAACAACATCCACATATCACACATATGCACACATGTCCATCCTCCAGCTGATCGTCTAGTCTAAACCTACAAACCAACTGTATTGCCAGGGTTCTTCTGAGACCTTCTTGACATAGCTCTTTAGCTCCACCAAGCTCTCACACAACCTCGCGTTGAAACAACGCATTGGTGACTCTGGGGACCCTCACCCTCAGGAAGATTCATCCAAAATACGGAAGTAAGATGAAATAATATGAAATAACATGATATTTTGATATAAGAAAAACCTGTATGCATGTATATATATATATATATATAGGCTCAGCCCCCCCACCCCGACCCCCCGTGCCCAAAGAGAATGTTTCTCTTAGCTTAAACTTTTGAAAGAAGATGTAGAAAGAAAAGTTAAATGATAATGTAAAGTTTGTAGGGTCAAGGGCAGCAGACACAGATAACACACGTGTGGACAAGTTCAATCGGTTCAGTTCTCATGCCATGATTTGGTTAGTGTAACTGTGGGCAGTTGAAGACCAGACAAATTCAGAATATAAGTTTTGGTTTAGACGAACATGATGGATCAGTTCTTGATGATAGAGCAGAGTGCAGACGGAACGCACGATGAAGAATTTTTTTCGCCACAGCATGAAGGTTAGAATCTAGCCACGAAGCTCCTCGAGCATATGGCCTGTGGCTGCCCAGAGGTTCTGCGTGCGGTGCCAGTACGTCCACTGTGCAGCGCGCACCTTGCGAGCTAGAATAGCAGAGCCAACCTTTCTAGCCGCGAATTTCAAATATGACCGCAGATGTCCCCAAAAGCGGTCAATGATTTGAGTGCCAGCTTTCACTATCACTGTCTTCCCGGTGGGCAGCTTGTGTGTCCGGGTTTTGGTATAATGGGGTTTTACCCAAACTGCTTTGCCTCTCAATCCCCCCAGCCTAAAGGGGGGGGACCTATCATGTGGATATCCAATACTTGAGGTCCCCCTCAACTATCTCAAATCTTCAAAAACTGGCTATTTTTTGCCTTCGGCTTCTCCGGATTCCAAACGCAGGGAGCTTTGCCCATCTTGGTCCAGCTTTGGAATGCTTCGGCAGGTGCGCTGTAGATTTTCTGCATACCGGCCATCTCCATTGGATCAAAACCATCCATGAAATCTTTGGCAAAATGAGATATACGTTCAAATATCTCTAGGTACATCATAATATGAACCCGAGATTGGAAACACGGTTACAGATTTCATCAGATCTCCAAAGTTTGATAAAGTTTGGTTGTTTCATGTTGTTTCCAAAAACTTGTAAGAAGCCAATACTCCTGGTGATGGTCCATCTCCCCCAGATTCATAGATTGACGTCCACCAATCTCATGACGTTGGGGATTGATATGGATTGATGACTCTGCAGCACTCTCAAAGCCACTAGCGCTGGCAAATCCATTGCCATGGTCTTATACCGAAAGGGAGAGAGATGTAAGGCAGCAAAAACATAAAGGAACGAAGTGTGGCATACTTGAATTTTGCAGATATCACATTTTGCTCTCACGTCTCATTCCTCAGTTGATCTCAGTTGATCATGTCATTATGATCTCCATGCCCAGGTGCTGGCTTGCACTGCGCTTGCCATTTCCGGAGCCTCAGCAAGTGTCCCGGTGCCACAACATGCATGGGTGATCCCGTGTGTCGGTACTGGGCGAAGCTGGTACTCCAAGAGACAGGACACACGGAAGGATATGTAAGGATAACTATTTATAATACATAAATATATATATATATTTATTTATTTATAAGATTTATTTATTTATATTTATATACGCAACACTATACCACTATGATTTACAATCGCTTATAATCAAAAATCATTTTAGGATATTGGAAGACAGAGTGCAAAATCTGTGTCTGTGCACAGCGGATGACCTTGGACATGTGACATGGGCTAGTCTGAGCTAATAGTTTAAGAAGAAGGGGACATGACCGAAGAATGATAAAGATAGAGCATACAAACATGTGTCCAACATCTGGCTAACGAGCAATGTGTGAAAATTCAGCTGTCTGAGCAACCCAATCGTCAGAATCCACCTTGTTATATCTTGTTTCACCGCACATCAAAATGGGTGAGCTATGGTGAGCTCCAGTGTAAATGTTCCAGGACTGTTTGAATACAATCAAGTTGTTCTTGTTTTTTCACATCTAAAGTGGTGAACATCACTCTGGGCATCGTGCCTGTTCTCAGAGTTGTGGCCTGCACCCCCAGGGAGCAGTTCGAGCTTACATGGGCTTAACAATCAGACGCAAGGAACCAGGATGGGATTGTCTTTGGTGGACTGAAGGCACCCACTGATTCTCGGGATTTCGAAAAAGAGATCTACAAAAACAAGATGGATGGTGGCAAATATAGACAAACTGAGTCAACTTCACCGCCCATGCGACTTTTTTTGGGTAGATTCGCCACAGTCGCAGCATGTCACAGCACAACGACGGAGCTGCAGCTACCCACCAGCCCCCAAGAAAAGCAGCCGGGCTAGCTCAGTTCACCTGCCCTACGGCTGCATGCAAACTGCTTGGTTGCCTGCACCTTTGAATATCTTCAAATACCTTCAACATCCTTCAACTTTCTTCAACTCATTCATCGAAATGAATCAGGATGTTTGTTGTACACTTTTAAAGTCTACTGTTTCATGTGCCTGACCAGCAATCGAAAGTCCAGGCCAAGCTTATGTTCGCGCCCCGTTTCGCCTGACATGATGTGGCTGCGGGGTTCCTACTGGGTTCCTTATGTTTTGAGCTGTGGGACAAGAGCATCACCGCTTCTGCATCATCTGTGCATCATTTGAGATACCACCGCATCAAATTGCTGCAAAATCACGAAATTGTACCACGTTCCATCCAAGTCAAACAGGTCAAAACTTCAAGTTTTCATGAATTGGGGAATCATTCCTAATCATGTCTAGCTTGTTTGGGATTCACAGTCTCACTTGATCATCACCAATGTCCCATCATTTTCTTGGAGCATTCCTAGATCTTATCAACAACCAGTTCATAATTTTGTTGATGTCATCCCTACATATCCCCAAGTGTTTTCCTTCTATTCCATAAATATTTCTATAGATACTATCACAAGATATTTCCATATATTCCATAGATCTTTAGATCTTCCTATATTTCTAAGTTTTCCTAGGTATCCCTAGATCTTCCCATAAATTCATAGGTTTTTCTTCTGCTCACAGCTGAGTTCCACACGTTGGTGATGGATGATGGATGATGGATGATGATGAAGAACGCACTGGGTAGGATAGCGCCGACTTGGCCATTTAGCGAGCAAAAGCGAGCTGGCGCATAGGAAAGGCGAGCTGGCAACTCTAAATCTCAAACGCTGGTTGTTTTCATGTTGTTCCTCATGCTCATGAAAGAGCAATTAACAAACAATGGCCTGGATCCATCCGCGCTGATCTGCATTTTTCCCATTTGATTAATCGACCATTTGCGCCATTGGCATTGTGGAATACTTTCTCTTTGTCTTATGGTTACACAATTCACTGCGCTTTGAGGTCACCATCAAAATCCTCGTTCATCCTTCTTCATTCTGGCTAACGGCAATGTGGGCAACTCGCAATGAGTGTTTTCCTTTTCGTCCTTTTGCCTTTTGGCCAAGGGTCATTGTCGGTCCGTGCTGGTCCATTGCGTCCATTGTCAAGTGCGGCAACCGATGCAAAGCAATTTGTTGTAATGTTGTATGCGGTCTCATCCACTGATGGCTCGGCTGTAGACTTGGACCAAACCCTTGTTGTACAAACGCAATGTGCACTCTATAAAAAAGGCTTTTAACTTGTAACTAGTCAACTCATTCTATAAAGCTGTTTTTTTAAAGTTTTTTCCATCGAAATCTAAGATCCTCAGAATCATTCTATTAAAAAAGTACCCTCAGAACCATTTTATAAACCATTTTTTTTATAGAATGCAGTCGGCCACAGCCAGAGTAACAATCACGGGGGATATTCATGTTATGATGGCATTGTGAAATATTTGCACCACCAAGAACTGAAGCAACTGTGACAAATTTGGTTCAGCGGTTCCTCGCACAAGGTTAATTGATGCAGTGGTGGTCCTACCTATAATAGATCAAATTCATGTAAAAATAATCGCCGACTAAATTTAGTCTATTGACTAACATGTCTGTAAAAGACTTTTCTTGCTAAATTTAATCGGCAATTATTTTTACATCAATTTGATCTTATAGGATCGGGGTTACCATTACCCAGGGTAACCTGTGCCCCAGGTTTTGTAGATACAAATCTGACTTTAGAACACAAAACTACAAAAGTGGAGTCAGTCAGGAAAAAAACCCTACAAAAGAATGTCCCAATTAGAAAAAATGTTCCTACAAAAGCCTGAGGGTTTTACAGCCTAGTGTTTTTTTTGTTTATTGTTTTTTTTGTAATAGCTTTAAATTTCCATAATACTTTTTGTAGGGCCTTGTTCACATGTTGGTTGATAACTTCTGTAGTGAAATTGAAGGTTCTTTTTCTGGATGGTCCAAGGGTATTTTTGTAGTGAATCTGGGGTTGATTTTTTTCCTCAAAATATATACATGTGGGTGCGGAATCGCGCGTGTAGGCGCATCAACATGCTTAAAAAAATGACAACCCTTTCAGTGTTTCGTGGCCTTCTGATCAGGAAAAAAATGTTCCCAAAAAAGGTCATTTTTCTTGGATTTTGCAACCCTTACAGCACAAATTTCGGACCTTTTTTGCCTTGCCACTTTCATTGATCATTGTGCATGTAGACCTCTGCGGTTTTTTTCATGAGGTCAGGACACAAAGCGTTTTCCCAACGCCATTGCCAGGATCGAATGTATTGATCGATCTTGGCATTGAAACCATCACCCGTTTTTGTACAGACTGAGGACGGCACTGCTGCCTTACACAACTTCCAAGCTGAGTCAATGCCACCCGTGTGCACGGACAGCTTTTGTCCATGGAGGCGAGACTGAAGCACGAATTGCCCCTTGCTGTGACAGCAAGATCTATGCAAAAGGTTCATGCGGGGGCACAACTTCAAATAGGCCGGCGCCCCATCAGAAATCAAACAGGTTTTTCCAAAGCCAGGCTTCATGGTCTGCACCTCATTTGCAAACTCCGTTTTTGTGATTCTGTCGAAAGACTCCGGCGGAGGCTTGCCGAAGGATCTGCTGTCCGCATCCTTCAAGCGGTACAGGTTGATCTTGCGAGTGCCACGCTGCAGCGCACCAAAGTACTGCATGTACCGCAACGTTGTCGTCCCAGGAAGCACAAACTTTCTGACGCTCGTACCGTCCACTTCGAGCAGTCCTGAGAGTTTTCGGCTCTGTTGTGTCTTCTGGGCACACAGAGCTTCTGCACTCAAGAGGACTCGCCCCAGCTTTCGGACAGCGCTGTTGGCTTGACCTGAAACTTGCATATTGCGAGCAATTTCTTCGCTGGAAGGCCTGTTGCTGGCCGCAAACCAGTGCTGCATGAATGTCCAGTAGTGGACAATGGGCCATCGCAAACGCGGCAAAGCGCTAAAGCTCATGACGTCTTTGAAACCTGCAAACGAAGAACGCGGCACAGGGGCCCAATGGTGACTTTTTAAATATGTACATCATTGCTATGCCTTAAGATGTGGATGTTTAGCACATAAGCATGTTGACCTATGTTCATTGCAAAAATTGGCAGCAATTACACAGGTATATAGTGAAGCAAGAAACCGGAATGCTGGGAACACTGCGTTGCGGAGTCGCAGGAATAACGCCGGAAGTGATAGAAGAAGAAGAAGAAGAAAATGATGTGGACACCTGCGCCGCGTCCGTATGTGCCCGACATTGTGGAAAACAAGTTCCAGCATCGCGATCTTCTCTGGCCATTGCTCCTGTCCTGAGTGGACAGCATGTTTGGAAATTCTCTTCCAATAAAAAACCAAATCGAAAACGAATATTCTTTTCCAAAAAAATGCAATGACAAGTCTCTCATCACAAAGCGGTCCCTCCGGCCAATCCGCGGCCACCGCACGCAAAAGTTGCTGCACTGACGCCGCAATGTCAACATCATGGCCATGCCACGGTCTCTGACGACGAAACAAAGTAGCCGCATTTGCACACAAGGCAGCATTGGGATTTGGATGCCTCCTATGATGTCGCACCAAACAATCTTGCAACACAAGCCAACCATTCTCCAAAGCACGCCAATCATAGCCAGAGTAAGCCAGCATAGCATGCTGGATTGCGTCCATGCCAGCATCTGCGCCAGTCGGCAGAACAAAAATTTCATGTAACTCAAACAGCTCTTCTGGCGGTATCAGCTGCCACGCTGCTACCACAGGCGGCAAACGAACACCAGCTGCATGCAACAGCAGCAACAACGCCAAGGCGCCCGCAACCGAGTACGCCATACTGCGACACCAACAAGAAAAAGGTATATTGACATACCTCACGAACCATTAGCGAATCATCACAAGCATCTCTATCTCGTCTATATTCGAAATTTGCCGACATGAGACAACATATATATATATAACAAATATCTATTCTGATGTATGTCGCACAAACAAAAGTCAACATATTTATCTATATATATATATATACATATATACATGCATGTATAACTCTCGCATACTCTCGACATTCTTGTACAAACCCTGGCAGCGCTGCGGCCACAGAAAACTCTGCTAACGAGAAAACGTGGAACAGCGCCATCGGTTTCTAGCAACATATGCCATAAAAACAGAACCAATGCATTTATAAAGATATTATAAGGCACCATGGACATCAACATCTCCCACACAATGCAACGGTCAATCTCCCTGCATGCCACGACCCTGCGTCTGCAGCTGAGGCTTCGCACCTCGCCGCCAATGGAACGGATTTCCACACATGTTTCTAATATGTGTGAGGTAAAACATGGATCCATGGATCTATCTTTCACTGACTAGTGATTTGATGAGTTATTATCCTCACGATATGAAAGATCGCTATCATAGCAAGCATATCCAATAATGACCAACATATGAAATTAGAGGGTAATTTGTATCACCATTGGGATGAACTTTATCGTTACCGTTGTGAAAGACACTATCAACAGAAGTATGACAACCATTATAAATTATTATGATGCACTCCTCAAAACAGGTAACGAGAACACACGATATACGTTCACATCCCCACCCCAGCGTAGCATCAGTGGCGTGTTAAACTTCAACCGAACGTTCACATCTCCACCCCACCACATGCTCAGCGTAGCATGCGTGGCGTGTTCAACTTCAACCGAACGTTCACATCTCCACCCCACCACATGATCAGCGTAGCAGCAGAGGCGTGTTCAACTTCAACCCAACGTTCACATCTCCACCCCACCACATGCTCAGCGTAGCATGCGTGGCGTGTTCAACTGCAAACGAACGTTCACATCCCCACCCCACCCCACCCCACCCCACCCCATGTTGAAAATGTGTGTAACTACACGTACGGTTTGGCACCATGATCAGCGTAGCAGCAGAGGCGTGTTCAACTTCAACCGAACGTTCACATCTCCACCCCACCACATGATCAGCGTAGCAGCAGAGGCGTGTTCAACTTCAACCCAACGTTCACATCTCCACCCCACCACATGCTCAGCGTAGCATGCGTGGCGTGTTCAACTGCAAACGAACGTTCACATCCCCACCCCACCCCACCCCACCCCACCCCATGTTGAAAATGTGTGTAACTACACGTACGGTTTGGCACCATGATCAGCGTAGCAGCAGAGGCGTGTTCAACTTCAACCGAACGTTCACATCTCCACCCCACCACATGATCAGCGTAGCAGCAGAGGCGTTTTCAACTTCAACCCAACGTTCACATCTCCACCCCACCACATGCTCAGCGTAGCATGCGTGGCGTGTTCAACTGCAAACGAACGTTCACATCCCCACCCCACCCCACCCCATGTTGAAAATGTGTGTAACTACACGTACGGTTTGGCACCCGTTATCATGTTTATGGTAGACATATCGAACTAGTTTTCATTGGGGTTATAAGCCAACAAAAAAACAAAAGGCCTTTCACATATGTATATATATATATATATATCAAATTCCATATCCCCATACGATCCTCATTTAATAAACCAACAAACATCACTAGGGCACCATAGTTCTAGACTTTCCTACGTCATGGGGCTACCCCTAAATCATTGATGACTGATTGGTTCACCAGATGATTTGTTGCTACATCTCTGGAGAAAAAATGTATAAAAGTGTATTCAAGTGTTGGGTATACCGTTGGGTTGACCAAATTTCAAGTGGTGCAATGTACAGTGGTCTTGCCAAACTATAATTCCCAAACTCTTAGGAAAATCATGGGATTTAACCAACACAAATGGTGATGTGACGAGATCAAACTATGCAAAATGTAGAACCAAGCAATATTGGGCGGTTTTTGAGAGTCTTGGAATGTTGTTTTTTTTTTTTTTTTTTTTTTTGGTTTTTTTCGATTTTCGCGAGTTTTTTTTGTTTTCTCAAGGTTTTTTTGATTTTCTCCAAGGGGCCCTCCCCAAAGAGTCTTGGAATATTTTTTTTGTTTTTTTTGGTTTTCTCGAGTTTTTTTTTGGTTTTCTCAGTTCTCTCAAGGTTTTTTTGGTTTTCTCCAAGGGGCCCTCCCCAAAGAGTCTTGGAATATTGTTTTTTTTGGTTTTTCCAATATTTTTGCTAACTTTCTCCCAGAGGCCCTCCCCAGATAGCATTTTTGAAAAAATAATTATATAATATATATTGACAGCAACATACAAACAAATTGTGAATGTAGTACAAAATGTGAATACCAAAAAATATCTATTTTCACTGTAAATTACACTAGAAACAACATGTCGGGGGGTCGTGGTGGGGGGGTGAGCATATATATATATAGATATGGACAATATTAGGATATAACAGCCAACAAAAAAGCGGGGTGGATTTGGGCCCAAGAATTGGAAACTCCAAGATTTAATGGATTAGTTCCGTTGCGAAAAGCTACGTGCAGGAAACCATTGTCTTGACTTAGGCTGCAACAGGTCCTTCAGTTGTGTGGTGCAAACCATATTTCCATCATTTTCAATCCAATTGCTCACATCTGTTAACATCTGTTGGGTCAAGAAGATAGAAAAGCAACCCAGCATGAAAACAGCAAGGATTGTATGGCTTTCATGGCTGTCCAATCTTTTGGACCCCCAAGTTGCCAACGAATCAGGTCAACCTCACCCCTCTTGCGGTTCAGATGCATGTTGGGCCGCGCTAGTGCAAAATACTCCTGGGATGTTGCACCGCCATGGCGCCCACGACTTTCAATGCTCCCCGTTACGTGATGAGGTGCTACGACTCCAAAATTGGCGAAATAGCTAAGTCATGCTAAGTCCAGAGCCCACTATAGTACCCTCTGCTGCAGCAACAGCCACAACGGATGACAACAACAGTGTGGCGCACTGGAAACCACTGCGTCGTAGCGACCCAATACCCAAAAAGCACAATATGATCTCACCAAACTAGCAAATCTGACAAGCGAAATCGCCATCGCCGAGAGTCCCAAACACTGAGATGCAAAAAGCAGTCGATGGGCACACCTTTGGTGACCTGTACTCGCGAGAAGACAAAGCGCCAGTTGAATTCGCCATCGCCCACGCAACAATCGTGCTGATCCGTTTCTTGCTCTCCTCAGCGGCAGCGGAACTGTGGACGCCGCGCTATAGATCGGTAGAACAACCACTGGATCCAAACGGACAGACAAATGATAGTGTCTTGCAGATACTGGATGCTAGCAACTATATGCATTGAATAAACTACAGTGGTAAACAGCCTCAGCCTCTCTCCTTCTTTTCGAATAAGGCATGTGGCTAGTTTGGTTGGATGATGCCTGATTCAAACGCGATGACACAGAAGAAAATCATGAAGGACTTCGTAGGTCCTTGAGGAATTCCTGGTTGAACCATGAACCACCCAGGTTAGCCAGTGTAAAACCAACTAAACCATATTAAAAATCAATAATTAAAACAAACTCTAATTGGACAATGGAATCTTCAAACAGGATAAACACATGGGTTTGTTGCCTCATACCGGATATCGTAGGAGATCTTACTGTTTCACCCGTCTTGATTCCATTTTCTGAAGCATTCCAGGAAGCAAATGACCTGGAATACCCTGGAATCAGAACCTTCCCAAGAGGATTTCACATGGGACGTCACTGAAAACAAGAAAAAATTGACACTCTTGGCTATTCACAACCTGGCTTCTGGGCTGAGGTCCATTGTAGGTTCTGCAGTCGATGGAGCATCGCGCTCTGATGCTCACGTTTTCACGCTGGTCGCCGTAGTCATCAATGCCTGCAGCACTGTCGAGACTTTACACGGAGAGAACATCCCTACACATCCCGGCAGAAACAATGCGAATTGGTCTGCAATGGATATCAAGATCATCAAACAAATATTGATTGGTCAAAGATGGTCAAAGATGGTCGAATGGCATCTTGGAATGTTTTTTCCGTTATCCAATGATGCTTGTGCCCGCAATAGTATAAAAATGTATAAAATTTCACCCCCAATAGATCCCCAGCGGAAGCGGGCTTTGCCACTGCTCAAGTTGTTGGCTGCCAGATCCCCCAATCTAAACACAGGAATGCTATGGGTCAAAATTGAAGAACTTCAAATTGGTGAAATCATCAGTGGATGGGTCTAAAGTAGGATAAACCAGTAAAAACATATCCGACATATCATTCTGCTAGTTGGTTGCTAGATTTCCCTAGGTACTATGGGTAACACATAATCCCCTGTAAAGGATGGTGCCCCCCAATTATGTTTGTTGGTATATAATCCGTTAAAAACCCCATGAATACTATAGTTACATCTACCATAAACCATAGAATTCAGCCACTAATACATAATCCCGCCTTAATTAGGAATGGTTTACTAAAGGAATAGCGACCAAACACCCTGGTGCAAAAATGCTCCCATTTTACCGGGTCTTGTGGTTCGTTTCGACAGAGTGCCAACGTGACCCATACAGGAAGTCAAATGTATGTGTGTTGACTTCCACCAAATCAATAAAATATACATGAACATATACATCAAAATAACATGTCCCCTATGATAATGCATAAATTGCCACATCTGGGGGTAAATCCATGTAAATCCGTATTTTTGGATTACTCCATACCAATCCACCGCAGGGGCCCAATTCTATGGCTGCTAGGTTGCACATCCTCATCTGCAAGTCGTGAACGGTCCAACAAATCAAGCGAATTTCCACCTGAGCGGCGTGCCGCTCACTGCTGGTTGACGTTTTGGGATCGTAGTGCCAGGGGATGTTCCTATTGCGTTTATCTATCAATCCATCCATCTATCTAATGAACCTGGTTGGTTCAGAGGGAATCTCCCCGTCCAAGAAAAATTAGCATTTATCATGAAAATCCCTACTGAAAGTCTGACATACCTGACTTTGCTTGTTCGCTTCAACCATGGCAACCACACGGAACTTGCGGAACAAGTGTGGTTCAAAAACCACGTAGAAGAAATGGAGAGTAGATGGAATTACGTGAAACCAATTCAACAACAACATCACTCAAAAAAATATATTATGATATAATATCATAATATCATATGTAACAAAAACCACATATTCAAAAACATGTACAATATGTAAAAACACAAAATACAAAAGAATATACATAATAATATACAATATATGAAAAATGAAAACTATATACAAGTAGAACCCGCGCAAGGCGGGTGGCGGAAGTTTTCAGGTTTAAGAAGTGTAACGCTATAGGATCCAAAGACAAGGTTTGCCCATAGGAGATGCAGCGGACCCTCACAGCTTCTAAACTCTGTTCTGTAAATTCGTCGTCACTTTGCCTCACCCCTTTTCAATTGTGATTGTGACCACCATTTCTCAACTCTTCTCAGGCCATCTCAGCTCTTCTCAATTTTCGCAACTCTTTTCAACAGCTCTCAAAGTTGGTTTCATCTCTTCCCACCTCAGCTCAACTCTTTTTCTTCCCTGCTCTTCTCAACTCTTCTCACCTCTGCCCGCCTCGTCTTAACTCTTCTGAACTCGTCTCGGCCAGTCTCAACTCTTCTCACCTCTTGCCACCTCTTCAACTCTCCCCACCTCTTCTCACTTCCGCTCAACTCATCTAACCTCTTTCTCAGCTCATCTCAACTCCTCTCCCCTCCTGTCACAGAGATGCTTACACACAGAGCAAGCTTTTACACATTTACACACAGCAAGCTCTTACACAGAGAAGCTCTTACACACAGGAAGCTTTCACACAGAGAAGCTTTTACACAGAGAAGCTTTTACACACAGCAAACTTTTACACAGAGAAGCAGCTACACAGGATGCGCCAAAATTGAGAAATATTTACTGCCAAAGCACCGTTCGCAACCTTCATGCAGCCACTACATTTTACAATTTACGATTCTCAGCTGCAAAAGGCATTAAATAAGTATTTTGCACGCAGCCGCAGCAGCGAGGAACCTGGACGCAGCCATTCCACGGCGATCTGCCAGAGACCGAGTTGCAAAACACAAAAGAATTACGCACAACGGCTACACAAATTGCAGCTCCAAAACGATCTCGACGCCCAAGCGGAAAAACGACGATTTTTAAGCACTGTTTAAAAGGAATTTTAAAAGGAAAATCATCAGCACCAAAATGAAAAAAATCTGCTTTCGCAATTTTCATGCTGCCATTACAATGCGATTTGCAACTCTCAGCTGGGAAACACAAAAATATTACGCACGCACCCGCAGCAGCGAACCTTGACGCAGCCATTCCACTCGATCTGCCGAGACTGAGTTGCAAAACACAAAAGAATTACGCACGGCTGCGCAAATTGCAGCTCCAAAACCGGATCTCGACGCCCAAGCGGAAAAACGACGATGTTGAATGAAGCACTTTTTACAAGGAAATTTAAAAGCAAAATCATTAGATCATCAGCACCAAAATGAAACAAAATCTGCTGCCAAAGCACCATTCGCAACTTTCATGCAGCCACTACAATACAATTTACGACTCTCAACTGCAAAACACACTATGTAGTATTCCGCACGCAGCCGCAGCAGCGAGTAACCTGGATGCAGCCATTCCACTGCGATCTGCCGAGACTGAGTTGCAAAATGCAATCAGAACCGCAATACACTACTGGAGAACAAGTACCCTTCAAGAAGCCTTGGCGCAGCCATTCCACTGCGATCTGCACAGACTGAATTGCACAGGACAATAGAATTGCAACACACTACTGTAGAACACATCGCTGTGATGCACCAGTTCCAATGCACAAAGTATCTCAACACATGCAAACACAATAGCACAGCATCAACAAAGAAGAGAAAAAAGTCAACTGGAACTCTCAGTTACATTGCGCGCGCAATTCGAGCAAGATTCCACGCTAAAGCGACGACGCCCGCACCCGTCGCGCACGCGAGCCAACTTTTCTCCGCAACGGAAGCTCCGTTGACCCGAAAGAACACAATGTTTCGTGCAAATCCTAACATTCAAATCGCATCCATGATGATCATGATGTAGCAGTTCCAATGCGATCTGCCAACAATGCCCTGCAAACACAATCAGGATCTGAAACGCAAGACACAACACCTCTACTCTGCTCTACTTCTGCCTCTACGCTTCTCTTCTCTCGTCTTTTCTACTCTACCTCTAGTCTACCTCTAGTCTACCTCTACGGCACATGCCAACTGGAGACACGTGGGCACAATGATCTCTGGGCTAGTGAGAATGTGACTTCATGATCTCTTAACGCAAGTGCCCACGGATAGACAGACAGACAGACAGACAGACAGATAGATAGATAGATACATAGATACATAGAGAGAGAGAGATAGATAGATAGATAGATTGATATGATATGATATGATATGATAGATAGATCGATGGATAGGTAGGTAGGTAGGTAGGTAGCTAGCTAGCTAGCTAGCTAGCTAGGTAGGTAGGTAGGTAGGTAGATAGTCAGAGAAAGAGAGAGAAAGAGAGGAGACATCAATCACATTTCGATCCATCAGTGGCTTCGCTCTGCCATTCCGGATTCACAACAGCCAACCTTTCCTATAGGTTTCCTATTTTTGAAACTTCCGCCACCGCCTTGTGCGGTACTACTGGTATATAATATAACATATAATATAACATATAATATATAATACATAATAAATAACATATGATACATAATATATAATATATAATATAATATAAAATATAAGATATAAACATGACATAGAATGATTTAATGTAGTATCAACACATATCATAATGTAGTATGGTATAGTACATATAATGTTATATGATAAGACATGCTAATACAAAAGCAATTGAATAGACTCTGATTGCCCGCAGATCTTGAGGACCAAAATGGTCATCTCGACCAGCTCGGCATAGAATCACTTCTACAACCCCCAGAAGTTTCCTGTTTGCCGGTCCAGTTTCAAAAAAATAAAGACATGCAAACTCGTGGAGAAATCTGCAGAAGATGTATCTAGTTGGATGAAATCTTGATCCACCTAGGGTCAAAATTCAAGACCTCACCAGAGATTTTAGTCTTCCTTGCCTATTAACATCTATTAAGCATCCTTTTTTGTGGGGGTATCCTATGTTGAGCCACATCCACATATCATGACAGATCATGACATATCCACACCAGGCACTTCCATCGCAGGTGGCTGGAGGAGTTTACTCACCTTCGGGCGCCAAAGATTGTGAATGTTGGATACCCTGCAAAAAACGTGCTATTCTTTGAAATCATATTCGTCATTACCCTCTGGTTATTTAACATAGCCATGGAAAATGGCCCATTTATAGATGATTTTCCCATTAAAACCTCGGATTTTCCCAGTTATAGATGATTTTCCCAGTGTAATGTCAACCCCGGATTAATAAACCATGGTTTATTAATTGGGGGGTACTCCCCAAATAGCCATGTCATCTGATACTTAAATGGTATCCCCCCCAATTAAACAACCTAGGGGTTTATTCATCCAGGGTTGACATTATATACACTGTATATACTATTGTCCATTGGTACTATTAGTGGCTTATGGAAATGCTGGCAGTGTACACCCTAAGTTATAAACTACTCATCTAAGGCGCGGTTGATGAGAAAATTCAGCCGTTGTTGCTGGGATAGATGGGTAAGTCGTTGACTTCTGTTCATTTCGTTTGTTGAAGTCTACCATGTGATTCAACTCACCTTAAAATTTGGTATACCCCAAACAGACCTATTGATCTTACAGGGGGCTCATGGGGGCAGCCCAATTTCACTTCTCCCACGAGTTTCAGTTCGAGCATGAGCTCCATAATTCATCTTTTCCGCGTGAGTATGGAAGTCTCAAGAAGCTAAGTAGCAGTGAATTGAATGGTCGTTTTGATATTCAGAAACTCACATTTTTCTTGTATCTCAGACTTCTGTGATGCTTGGGAATGCGATGCATCCGTTAATCTATGTTAATCTCCATAGATACCAAGGTAGCACGGTCAAATCGTAGGGGCAGGCTGACCTATTGATGCTGAACCTGGCCACTCCTCCAATACTATCACCATCTATCAGCCTTTAGCTTCCCATCATGACTCAACTTTTTCTCAAATTATCCCAATCTTGTTTTTTTCCACCTGTTCCCATCATTATCCCATCATTTTTGGAGTTACCCTCTGGTAAACATACAAAAAGCTATTGAAAATGGCCCAGCCGAAATAGTGGATTTTCCCAGCTACAAAATGGGTGGATCTTTCCAGTTCGCTATGTCAGTCATTACCAGAGGGTAAATCCCATTAGATCCCATTCAACCGCCATAAATTCCCATTAAACCACCATAAATTCCGAACGGTGCCGTTCCGCCGGAACCGGTGCCGGGAACCGCCGCCGGGTCGCTGGAACTTCTGCCGCCGTGGTGGTGTCCAAGAGCTCGATCCACATCTCCAAGGAGCCTCGAGGAGGGGATGGTCCAATATGATGGTCCGTGATGGTCCATTTATAGATGGTAAGAGTGTACCAAAATGGTGATTTACCTAGTAAAAATGGTAAAAATGGTGATTTACCTAGTAAAAATGGTGATTTAATGAGGATATTATATACCTAGGAAAAATGAGGATTTACCTAGTCAAAATGCTGATTTATGTGATTTGAGTTAGTGAAATATGTCCGGTGCATGGATAAATAGTTCACTGAAGATAGGATAGTTGGAGAGTATATGCTAGAATAGTTGGATAAATAACCATCTATGAATTAATTATAGTATAATCCACCCATTGATAGTTGGACAAATATGCATGAATGGTTCATAGTGGAATAAATGAACACTAAAATGGTTCGACCAGGTTCAATCATGAGCTGGATAAATGTAACAAACAACACTTTATTGGTTCCAACACTTTGTCAACATAATTGGATAAACAGTTCATTTAAGATCAAACTGCTTCATACCAAACAAATCTGCACATCATCCTGGAATTTTCCAATCTCCAGTAGATCCACTTACCCTGCAACAATCATCTTCACTTGGGATAGCATAGTTTCTGCATTGGTATCAAACAATTACACTTTTACTTTTTTTTTTCGGGGTAGTATCAGTAGTTTCTCCATTCATTGTAAAAAACATGATTTTCACATATTCTCCGGGAACCACACATGGCGGGCCGGGAAATCCCTCGAAATGGATGAAGCGGATGTTTCATGATGTTTCTTGCTTCGAAAAATCATCAAACCTAACCGTGGAACTGATGACCAAGTGGTACTATTTCCATGATACAATATTTTGACATATATGGAATCCATTGTTAAGCCACTATATTTAGCCATTACCCACCATCTGGTTGGTGGTATACCTACCCCTCTGAAAAATATTAGTTCGTCACTTGGGATGATGACATTCCCAACTGAATGGAAAGTCATAAAAGCCATGTTCCAAACCACCAACCAGGAATCACTACAATGTCAAAAAAACACCATTATATAGACTGGTTATCCTAATGGTTATCCATGATGGTTAATCACATACATTTAGCCATTAAAAAAAACATGATTCATCAATGGGGATTTCAGGATGCTAAAATGGAGCTACTGTACCATATAAGGCTATATTTTGTGGGGATATTCCCTTACAAAAATAGGCCTGAAAAATAGGCCTGAAAAATAGGCAAAAAATATGGAATCGATACCTCCAAATGGCCATTGAATTCACCCTTCACCATGATTCACCATCCATCACCATTCGCGATGGCCATTTGGGGCGGCCTTTGGAAATCGTACTGATCTCTCGCGTGTTGGGATCGATGGACTCGCACATCAAGGGTCGGTATTCAATGGGCACCTGGGATAGCATGGATAGCTTGCGCAGGCGCTGAGCTGAAGCGCTGGGATGCATCGAAAGGGGCACCAAAAAAGCACGGAACATGATGGGAAAATGATGGAACATCAACATAAAACCACAGGATTTTGGGGATAATAAATGATGGAACATGATGATACACCATGGGAGTTTGGGGAAAGCTGATATTATTTCAAAAAAAGATCAGACAAAGTGAATCTGCTCATCAGGTGCTTGATGTCTCCATGTTTTAAAATAATTCAAGTAGCAGTATGTGGTCCTTGGTGTCCCCTCCGCTGACCCCAGCCTCTACGTATCTGCTACCCCTCAAAATCAACATTGAATCTCGAACGGTGGCTTTGGAATGCTTTGGATCATCATTTCCAAATTGCGGAAGTGCACTTTTTTGGGTTTACATGTAAGGCATGTAAGGTGTTTTTGGGTGTACTCAAACATCTTGGCACTCTCTCTCTCTCTCTCATGACTCTATTCATGCACAAAAGATCACTCCCTCGACTCCCTCACTCCTCGAATCCCATGTCCAGCATCTCGGCACCTTTCTGTTTTGAATCATGAGTTTGTACTCCCTGGTGTAGTACCTGCACAAAATTGAGGTGCTGGGCGGATGACTTGCAACCCAACCCACCTGACAAATCCGTGACTTGGTTGGCCAAAATGCAGAGTAACCCAGTTGTCTAAGCCACCACCCTGCCACCCTGGCCTGTCTTCAAGATCCAGAACACTTTTGCCGATCAGCAAATCCTCACCATTGTCCTGATAGTCAAAGAGCCCAATCTCAAAGTAGGACCTGGATTTTGGAAATGGAGATCACTGAGATCACCAGGAAACCGGACGGTCGAGAGTGCTGAAGCAAGTCGTAGTGGGACCTACTTATGGCTTAAATAGAACATGTATATATGAAAATGTAGGAATACTTATGGGACCACAGATCCTGTCATCCTCAGTATCAAAGCATCCGGTTTTGTTGGGGTCCTCATTTGCTGCTCCTCAAACTTGTTACTACACGAATCACTGAATGTCCAATTTGTAGTATTTCGGTATTGGTGAATCACACATCATATTGTCAGTGGGAAAAGAGTTGACCCATAGAAGAATGTAGAAAACAATAAGCATTGGCGGTGATTTTCCCGCTTATATCAGTACAATATTCAGTACAACTATATATATATATATTCAGTGTTGGTGGTTAAAGTCTAATCTTCCTCCTGCTTTGGGGATCAGCTCAGGCACTGTTCGGGCAAGTGAATGTCCGCTTCCTGGCCATCGACTGAACAAAAAAAACACCTTTCATGGCACAAAATTTCGTTCGAGGAATGGGTCAAAATTACAAATCCTCTAAAACACGAATGGATAAATACTCAACGTGGCTAAATTTTGCAGGCAATACTAATTCCGACCTTTAGCCATACTATGCCATTCTTTTTGGTGTTCCGTGGGTTTTCAGCAGGGCTACACGTGGGTTTCAAGTGGACATGCTGGAGCATGACAGTCTCGCCAGTATGCAACTGACGAAGGTTTTTCGGCTTTTGGATTCACAGGGTTCGATCATCCCCCAGGAGTCCTTGCCGGAAATTCATCTAAACTCCTGGGCATTTTTCCTGTCTATTCCAGGGTGGTATTGATGATGATGATATTCCATGCATGGGCCGCTGAACCAAAACATAAAAGCTTCTTGGCTTCGTTGTTTGCGGCTGGAAGTTACTGCAATCGTTAAGCGAAATCAGGGCGTTTAGCAATGCACATTTATGAGCACACACATATATCTATATCGATGAATCTGTGCATGTACATGTATATATATATATATGTATATACATATGTATTGTATATACATATGTATTGACATGTGATCATTCAATATCATAGTTTGGTTACGTACTCATTTCTATTGTTCTGTACCTACATAAAGACATACACTTACACACGCATTTAAAATCATACACTTACACACACATATATATATTGTACACATATATATGTGTATATATATATAATAAACATAAAGAAGTACATGAATAAGTAAATAAATAAAAAATAAAAACACACAAACATATACATATACATATATATAAACACACATATATATAATATAATATATATATATAGACACGCACATAATCATAGATTCATAGATATGTACAATCTTGATTCGTCTGAAACAATGTGGTTAGTGCACCCGCTGCCTCGGTGCGGAAGTATCGAGGCTCCACTGATTGCATCTGTCGATGTCCCTCCAACGACACCTTGTTAGCACCTGGGACCCGGGCCCCGATAAGTTGGGAGCCCTATGGGCCTATGGCGTCTATGGCACTACCCTCTGGTAAACGTTTACATCACGAACTGGAAAATCACCATTTTTTATGGGAAAACTCACTATAAATGGTGATTTTCCATAGCTATGTAAACGTTTACCAGAGGGTATCATAACTGTAACTGGAACTGCACAAAGCCAAGATCTTCGTAGGCTCTCCCAACATGGTTACTGATGATCCTACATGTTGCTTGGGAGAGAATCTGCATTTTTACTTCCTTCGATCTCTTTCACTTGAAATGGCCAGGAATGATGACTTGAATGATGACTTTACTTGGTGGCTCATCCCACTTCGTAAGTGGGTTATAACCCCAGTTATAAGTGGATTAATCCTACTTATCCCATTTATAACATTTTATAACTGGGGTTATAACCCACTTACTAAGTGGGATGAGCCATCAAGTATCTTACTTTAATGTATGGCCATTTTGATTGGGCAAATGATAAATAAGTAGCAAATCCATGTTGCGAGGACCGTAGGATGATCCTCCAAGATTAAGCTGCTCGCGCACCACGGCTTTTCCAGCTGCGGAGAGGAGCTCAGCTGCAGCACTCTTTGGCCTATGGATCCTATGGGCAAGACTCCACAAAAAGGATTAAGGATGGATCGTATGGACCAAATAGGCCATTATTGCCAAAGACTACATCAAAACCGCTCGTGGAAATGTTGAAATTCCATAGTCCAGCCGCGGGATTGCCGGCAATTTCGGGGATGGCTTGCCCCAGGAAGATGAAGTCCTGAACAATATTTCCAGTCAAGTTGAACTCAGCATTGCCTGGCTCGGGGCTGCGACCATCAGCACTCATAAGTCCATTACTTTCGGGAGAGTTGCTGAATTGAAAGGCAAGGAGGGCGGGGTCGAATGTGAGGCAACATGAAGGAGGTAAATCTGCATAAAATTGCACGGTCGCGGTAGAGGAAAGATTGATGCCCACCAGGGACCGATTGGAGAAGATCCCAATTTTTCCATCTGGCAAGAAGTTGCCGAAGCAATCAGAAGCCGGTGAGATGCGATTGCAATCTTGCAGGCCAAACTGCAAAAACGCATCGGTAACTTTTTGGGTAGCAAGGCTGCGGTTGCCATCCAGCACTTTGATGGTCCAATCCCCAACTGCTGAGAAGCCATTGAAGGCCACAGTGCCGGCCCATAGTTGTCCTCTGAAGAGAGCTGCTTGTGAGGTTATCTCGGTTCCGTTGGGGCTAGAGATTGAGATGAAGCGGATGTCGAAAGGATTTGAATCTACACTCAATGCAACGGACAAGTAGCCTGGTACAAACTGATCATTGCCAGTGCCGCCGACACATAGACAATTCAAGTTCGCTGGGGCAAAAGGGGCAAAAAAATCCCTGACCGTGACGGGATTTTGGGGGGGACCGTCTTGGAATAGTACCTGGGTTTGCCCATTACGTATATTGCCACTGCACACTAGACTGGTACTGCTGATGCTGGTGGTGGTGCTGGCAGTGGTTGTGGTGGGCTCTTCGGTGGTACGAGCAGTGGTGAGCTCTTCGGTTGTGGTGCGCTGGTGGCGCTGGTGCTGGTAATCCTCTCCGTGGTCTTGGCGCCATAGCGCCTGAACCGGCGGAACCTGCCGTTCCGGTGATGCCGGACAGGACGGTACTGCCAGGAAGCCATGTCGAGTTGCTGCTCCTTCACCACCTGTAGGAGCATGTTCTCCTCCATGCAACCCACGCAACTCGAAGATTCATGGGACACTGCCACCGCGAAGAGGAACCAAAGAACCATCACCAAGACATTGTTCAGCAACATTGCAAAGCAAATCTACTCAATACATTTATATGAAGAACAGGGCACTTGAAATTGCGCCTTAGCCGAAACACTACAGCATTGCAGGGTTGCATGAGCAAGAGCTTTCACCATCAAACACTGGTGTCACTGATCTGCCAAAAAGGTCTGCACATCTGTTGTATATTGCCGTATCATATTGTATATAGTATATATATAATATAATATAATATATATATATATATAATCGTCCCAAATTCAATCCATGGTCCAAATCCATTGGAACTTCTGCTCCCCCATTTTCAAACAAATCCCAATACCCTGGATGGCACGTGGATGGCTAATAGCTTGGAGGTCTAAAAACAATAATGTCAAGTCATAACTTAAAGATGATAATTCCTTGACCCTAATATTAAACACACACCAAAAAACATCGTTTAGTGAAGATTAAGACATAATTGGAACCATTTAGGGGCCGTTTTTCATATTAGGGGGATGGGATCAACTGAAGACCGAATCAGCTGCAGCTTCTGAGCAGCGCACCGTACATGAAGTACAAGTATGGATTGCCATACCGGGAGATTGCCTAAGTCACGAGATCGAGATAGATTGAGTCTCAGATGGCACCGGGGAATTGTCACTGTCACACCTTTGAATTGTCGGAAATAGACATGAATTACCTATGAGAATCTACCTTTAGCAGAGACATCAAGGGGTTTGGTTCAAAACCAGTTGAAGTGGGCTTTGTAGCCTGGCTCTACATTTCCCAGAATCCAACAACGTCACGTGGCTCACTTTAGGCCTTTTTGAACTGCCAAGCAGAACTGCTTCGGGAAATGAATCACATGTCCCGCGCAAATAAGCTGCTAATCTACTCACTTTAGGCAAAATCCTGGAAAGTGTAGAGAAAACCATGCGAAACCCACATAAACCATCATAAACCCAGTGTAAAGTCGTCCCGGCAAGACACTCCAGACACATTGAGGCCTCGAATGATGTAGGTGCGTACCTGAACGAAACGCACGAGACGTCGACTCAATCGACTGAGTCGACCATCCAAGAATTATGATATGTTTGATATGTTTCAAACACTGAAGAACATATACCCTCCAGTAAATTAATATAGACCCTAGTAGAAAACGGGGTTGGAAGATTAGTTTCCACTAAACATGGGTTATTTTCAGGGTCTATGTTAATTCACCAGAGGGTAAATTAATCATGTAGCCTCTGGTGAAGAAACATGACCAAGAATCATAAGAAGCGACAATCTGCAAAGATAATTGTCCTCTTCCAAGTTCTGATGATTCGTGTATCAGTGGTATATTCGATTACCAATGGGATACCGGGACAATCATATCATCCAAACGGCCAACCGCCAACCACCCATCCAGCACCAGATACCCGCAAGGAGTGAGGCTGATCGATCTTGAAGCGCTTCCGCAGAAGTTGTTCGTTGAAAAATACCTGGCCAAACATGACCGCTGTCATCTAACTAGGATAATTGGGGTTCATAACAAGCATCTAACATACTGTAATATTGTTTTTTCAGTAGCCAATAATCTTGACAGCAGCTTGTACATGCTTAATATGCTTATCATCTGGATTACTGGGTATGGGCCAAATTTTCACCCGTCTGAATAGTTACATTACATGAAATGACAATTTTTCGTCTCAAACCCTGAGGATCACCATGAAATTGCAGGAGACAACCGTCTTTGCAGAGTTCACGGGATGGCAAGTACTGGAAGATACTGGAAGTCCTTGAAACTGCAGCTAGATCACAGTCGAAGCAATCCAAACAACCCTGACAAACACAAGCAGCCCGCACCTTGTCCTCAACATTGGCCTTGGCACGAAGCTAAACCAATATGTTTTCGGTCGCGACCGTTCGACAAAACTGGACAGTGCCAGAGAGGATCTGTGCTCAAGAGAATGGTTCACAATTCTCCCGTTGATCTATGAAGGCATTGTGTGCTTATTCATGGTCCTGATACCTGATGTGTTTTGGATCATGGGTGATGATGGGGTTTGAATGATGCAAGTCTTGCTGTTGGATCTGAATACAACCCAGTCATCAGCACATGCCACAAGGAAGCAGGCTGTGGTACATACCACTATACTCAAGTTAAAGGTCGTATGTGATACATGTATTGGTATGCAAATAACTGCACATAGACACACGCATATGCATGTATTGCATGTATTGCATGTATCGCATGTATCAATGCATGCATGAAGCATGGATGTATGTATCTATGTACGTACGTAGGTAGGTATGTCTGTAAGTCTGTCTGTCTATGTATGTATTTGTACGTACGTATTTGTATGTCTGTATGTATGTATCTATCTATTTATTTGTATGTATGTGTATCTGTATGTATGCGTATTTGTTTGTACGAAATGTATGTGTACAGTATGTATGTACAGTAAGTAAGTAAGTAAGTATGTATGTATGTATGTATGTATGTATGTGTGTATGTATGTATGTATGTATGTGTGTGTGTACGTATGTATGTGTGTATGTATGTGTGTATGTATGTGTGTGTGTATGTATGTATGTATGTCTGTATGTCTGTATGTATGCATGTATGCATGTATGCATGTATGCATATATGTGGATGTATTTGTATTTATGTGTGTAAGTATGCATTTGTATGTATTTGTATGTGTATGTGTATGTATATGTATTGTATGTATGTGTATGTATGTGTATGTATGTGTATGTATGTGTATGTATGCCTATGTATGTGTATGTATGTGTATGTATTTGTATGTATTTGTATGTATTTGTATGTATATGTATGTATTTGTATTTATTTGTATGTATTTGTATGTATTTGTATGTATTTGTATGTATTTGTATGTATTTGTATGTATTTGTATGTATTTGTATGTATTTGTATGTATTTGTATGTATTTGTATGCATGTATTTGTATTTGTATTTGCACTTGTATTCGTATTCGTATTTGTATGTATTTGTATGTATTTGTCTGCATGTATTTGTATTTGTATTGGCACTTGTATTCGTATTCGTATTTGTATGTATGTAATTATGTAGGTAGGTGTGTATGCATGCATGTATGTATACATCTATATACAGTATCTCATCTTGTTTCATGACATCATTTTCATCTCATCTTTCTCTGATTCTCCATGTCCATGTATATCTATCTATCTATCTATCTATCTATAATATAATGACATCTGATCTAATCTAATCTATATAATCAAATCTAATATAATCCAGCCTTATCCAATCTATATATGTGTTTTTTAAATCGCTCGGCACGGAGTCATGTTGACGACCTCCCCATCTCCAACGAAAAAATCGGCTGCACCCGAGGCACTTCCTTCGCGGTCATCCACTTCTTGTTGGGAGGGGAGATCACCTGCCGGCTTCACCGATGTTTCATGACCGTCGATCACATGAAGATTTAACATGATGCCAACCGAAATGTTACCCTCTGGTAAATTAACATAACTATGGAAAATCACCATTTTTAATGGGAAAATCCACTATAAATGGCCATTTTCAATAGCTATGTTAAGTTACCAGAGGGTAACATGATGCCAACTGAAATGTTATACGGAATGGAGTTTCATCATCTCACTGGTGACCAACGTCCGCTGCGACGCACCGGGAATCAAAGGCCGCTGCAGCACCGGAGGTGGCCACGGACGCACCGCAAGATTGGTGCTGACCAGCAATTTTTTAAGGGATTTGGTGTTTTTTTTGCTATGGATCTGTCTTCCAAGAGCTTGGCGCAAGATCGCAAGTACTTAAAATATGATAAAATCCAGCAGCTGACCCAAGTCTGCCTTAAACTTGGCCTTCACCTGTCCGATCTGTCTGGAACCACCTCAAGGCCAAGTTTGAGCAGGGATGATGCCCCCAGCGTGACTGGTACACCATGGTACAACCCATGTCTTCATATTCCTTTCCGATTCTTCAACAAGGCAACAAGAGCTTGCACCCAACATCAACATCCAGAACTGCGAACATATTAAAACCCATTCTTAGGATGGACTTCTCCAGTTTCTGTTCTCTTTAAGTATTTCCTGGGCAGTTTCAGAACATCGGAATCCTCGATGGAGCCGGAAAACATATTAAGGGCCAACAGGGCCAAATTCACTTCCCATCCCCCCAACATCGCCTGACCCATCTGACCCTTAAAATCACCTGTAGAGGAAACCAATTGTCTTCAGTCCCTCCGAAAACAGCAGAGTATTGATTATCAGAATCATAGGTATAATTACCAGTAATGACACCTTAAAACCATCTATGTTTTTTTTCTCCAGATCCAGGTGTTCCCAACTTTTTCAAAAGCCACCCGTTGCCACTGCCACCCAGCAACTGAAGAGCGGCACGTTCCGGAACACGGCCGGCTCCATGTTGTCCTCGAGGCCTCATATACTCCATGTATGATGACAATGACGATGAATGATCAGTTAAGGTTTGGTGTATACCGCCATTTTGGGTTCGGTTCGGCCAAAGAAAAATATGTTTTATGTCAGGATGTAGCTGGATTCGGAATTATTTGGATGATTTGGGAAAGACTTTTGACGAATTGGTATTGTTCGTTCAAAGATTGATACTTCGGTGTTTTTTTGGATCTTGGACGAGTTGCATCGGTTGTAGATGTCAGCTATGCAACTAGATGGTGCGGACATTGAGAACTGCTGTCAGCAACCACTAAAGTTCCAGCCCTTAATTCATATCCCAGCACAGATATCCTCCGGTAACAGAAACATGTTTTTTTCCCCCATCATGTATACCCCCTGGTAAATTAACATAACTATGGAAAATCACAATTTTTAATGGGAAAATCTACTATTTCTATGGCCATTTTCAATAGCAAACTGTTAGTTTACCAGAGGATAGCTGGTATTCCGAAGGGTTTCCACTAATGGGCCTCAAGGATGTGACCAT